TGTGGCTCCGCAGGGGCTCTATGTCGTATTCGCCAATAGTTCCCTTGGTCACCCTGAGCAGGAATGTCGCAATGTCCGGATTCTGGGATCCAATTGCTTCAGAAATGGCCAAGGCAATATGATCGTTGAGGTGGTCGAAGTCGGAAGCACGCCTCGTAACCGCTCGTTGGATCGTTTTCTCGAGTCCAAATCTTGCCATATATTGCAGCGGTGTGGGTTCGTTCTTTTCGATCACGAAAACGTCAACGCCGTTATCCACAAGGAGGTGCATCAATGCCTCATCCTGCCCCCGGACAGCAGCCATGGCAAGATCGCCAAAATGGGTATTCTTCCATCTGATACCCGCCGTATCGGCCTCAAGGAGTAGTCGAAGAAGTTCCGCATCCCCAGCGTGCACTGCCGCCGCCATTGCCGTATTATTTGCCCTTTCATCGGTTATTCTCCAATTATTTATCACGAGAGGCGGGCTGATTCTGTGGCAAATATCCGCAACTCTTCTCGTCGGTTCCCTCGTCTCCCGCTTCAGATGAGCAATATGTGCATCGCAAAGAATTCGCCGATATTTCTCTCTGATTACTTGTTCTTCTCCAAACGGGCGCTTGTCGTTATTGTCGTCCTCCTTCCTAGCCAAAACAGAGAGAATAATGTTCGTAGCAGAGTCTACAAGACCCGCAAAAAGGTCATCGGTCAACCTGGACTGACCAACCCACTGAAACAAGATGTGCTGGAGGATGCCGTCCGGAAGGCGTTCAATCGCCCTGGCGCCTTTGAGATTGTTTAGGAGGGTATCCATAACGACAGCGTCGAATGTTTCTAGAATAGAAATGTCAACAGTCCAGCCTTCAATATATATAACCCATGTCTTGAAACAGAAATAGCCAGAATATGTCATTTATAAAGCAGATCACATACTACACACCAGCCGCAGCCTGAAGAACATTTTCATGTCTGTGATGCTGCTATTAGGCTTGAAATCGCTTTCGATGATCTGGGTTAGGAGTTCTGAAGGCAGGCGGTGGATAGACATGGTGGTTTGCATTTTGGCTGTGATAATGGTTTCGACTATGGATGATTTTGATTCTTGCAATTCTCAAAGGAGTTCAGAAGCGTAGTAAGATCTCTGGTCGGGGGGAATAACAACGGTTTTGCCAAGGTGAGGCGCTCAACGAGTAACTAACCGGGCCCTTCCGCTTAAACAACATAACCGCTACCACCACGATGTAAAGCGCTGTACGGACCCTCCGTAAGGGCCCGGTTAACTAATAAAATTCCCCATTGCATTCCTAAAACTTGTAGGGATTGCGAGCAAGGCTTATTACCAAATAGAAATAGGGAACAATGCAATTGGTGGAAGAGCACATAATGAAAGCATCCATTTGATTTCTTGTATGTTATCTAGTATCCTACCCACGGCATCTGTGACCTTTGCCCTCCAGTTCACCCAAATAGCTTGCTTCCGTTCCAAAGATCGACCGCGCCGCAGAAACAAAAAGATGATACATCTGTTTACCAGAGCCCTTTCCCCACATGCACCTGCTGTCAAATTTGTGTCCATGAAATCCCGTAGCTTGTCCGTAAAGGTCGAAATTAACTAGAAATCGTCATCATAGGGCCTCTTTGTATTTGTCAGTATATGAGTTGACTAATAACTGTGACATGGGATTGCTGAGAGAATAGGGGAACCCAGGGGGAAAATAGGCACAAACCAATCTTTTTCTCATCTGTTGAACCGCTCGGGTTTCGTCCAGAATACTTTTTCTCGTCCGTTTAACCACTCGAGTTTCGTCCAGAATATTTTCTTGTTGACTGGTATCCAACGGTTCGTCGACCCGATAAACAGACGAGTTCGAGAAGTTCAACCATAGAACCCGCTCTCGCGCCTCGTCGGTAGAAATGAAAGCGTCATGGTTAAGCTGTTCATAGTCGTGCAGGATATATGCTTTGTGAATGGCTTTAATGCCCTTCTCGGCCCTCTCCCAGCGGTCGTTTGTATAAAGATCTTTATCCAGCCGTTGTAGGTTCGGAATATACTCTAGAAAGATTGCGCAGACATCCTCGCTGTCGTCAACCCAGACATCGACATCGGAAAAATCCGCATTCTCGATGGCTCCGTAGTAGTCGGCAACATATCCTTTCTCGCAGACGCCATGGGCCTTCAACCTCTCATAGGCAGCTTTTTCGCGCTGAAAACAGGATATACCCGTGCAGTCCCAGTGGTGATACGGATACTATGAAATCAATTAATGTTTGATGTTTTAGAAAGTGGGACCCATTTATGCATTTCTCCATCGACTCCTTGGGCGGTGTGGCATGGAAGAGAATCCTGGGAGAGAAAACAAACGTACCGTTCTCATCACCGCCTTTTCACCCCGGATCAAAACCAAGAAGGTTTTGGTGACTGATGTATACGACGAGTCACATTCATTGTTGCGCTTTATTACACCCTCAATCTCGATCTCACGAGGGGAGATGTCGTCGAATTTGTAGCGCGTGGTGGCCATATTCGGCGTTGATTGTGCGATGAGGTCCAGACAGCTGTTGGTGAGGCTGTTCGACCACAAAAAGGATCACCTTAGAAGGATCACCTGAGTGTGGCGGCCACTTATTTCTGACAGAGGCAGAGATGTAATCACCTATGTAATGGTTGTGCGTTGCCGGGCTGCTGGATTGCTTGGTTGCCAGGGCAAAATTATCATAATAACATAAAGGGGCCAACAAAACTTTCAGACCGGAAGTGAATGGCCCCAACACTCCAGTGCAGTGCTTATTTTTTAAGGTTATCTATCTTTAAGTGGAGACCACCCCAGAAACAGCGCTGGGCTAGTAGTTAATCATGCTCCCATCCTTTGACTCCTTTGATTCCTTTGAGTCTGTTGCCTCCATAGCCGCAACGGCTGCAATCACTGCAGTATGTCCTGAAGAAAATAGATTGAAACCTTTATGCCCTGTCTCTTTATCCCACGCCCATGCTAGATCCCGCATGCATTTTCCCTGCCAAATTTACTACACAGTTAGTAATGAGCTCTCACCTGGTTGCTCACTTCTTTTCTACTAATAAAAGGATTATCTTCACCAAAACCAAGATGACCGGCCACTTGCAAGCCACACTGAAACCGAGGGCACCAAATATGTGTGTATCCGCCATTGTTTTGATAAAATTACCTCTAAATTCAACTCTTGTAACTAACAAAGGATTATTGAACATCGAAGGCCAACAACAGGAGTGACTGTATTTAGAAGATCTCCAGGCAAAGAAAGGAAAAGAAATCAGTAGTCCCAGCTACTAGATGCGGCTTTGTTTCTGCTTCCTCAATCACACCGGGGATTTGTCAAGTTTGTATTTCAAAAGTGACTCCGGGATATCCTTAGCCGGCACCTCCTTTGACCACTTTCCCCAAAGCTCATCCTTCTCCTTGTCCGAAATGCCATCCTTCAACTCAAACCATGTCCCATCAATTTCCAAAAACTTCGGCTCGACGCAGCCATTGAGCACCTTTGGATGGTAACCCTTGTTTGCGCAATTGTCGCACCATGCATGGCCGCTGAAGGTTTTGTCGAGACTGGACATCGGCTTGGGCCCCGTAGTCTGACCAACCGCCCCAAACCACTGGCCACAGCTCTCATCTCCTTTTTTGCTGTAGGATATCGACATACCGAAATGAGGACATCCGAAGCATTGGGTGGAGCCGAAGTTCGTTGGTGGACAGCAGCAACGGTCTTTGTCGATGTCTTTGCATACGGCTTGATTCCCCTTGGCCTTCGTACCGGTGTATTGGTGTAGATCGACGGCGAGGACAGTATGTAGGAGGGCCCCGGCGGCGAGTAGGGCCAGAGGCATTCTGAGTTGATTGAAAAACATGGTGGTAGGTATTGGGAGTGGAGTAAAGGCAGAGAATAGTATTTAAAGTTGGATTTTGGGAGGAGTTTTCGGAAGGACGGCCTTTTTTGGGCTCTGTCGTGGAGGTAGAACTGTTGAAGCTGCTTGTAACTATATAGAAGGGTAGGGGAGCCGCTTTATATAGGAGAGGTCGGCCTCATTGCCACGGTGTAGCCCATCTTCTCCGCCACCAACCGCCCCAGTAACTTGGTGTTGGTCAAAACTGACATGGATAGTGTCAAGCAGATACTATGAATGCATCAGATAGTTAAGTTTCACGCGACTTGTCAAACATGAATCTATCCCCGACAAGTATAGAGGAGGGTGCCAAGCGGCGAAGTAACCAACATGTTCCCCTGACTCGTCTATCCACCGCACGGGCCACGGAACTGACACGGGTGAATTAAGCTTATTCTTACTCCCTCGATCTACATAGTTCGCCATATACTACTAATTGCACATTATGTTCTGCATCGCCCAAAGAACCTTTATTGTTCTCATCTGTGTCTTATTATTCCTGTATTGGGCATTCATAGCTCTTTATTTATATATATTACATAGCAGTATGGTTTCATTACTAACAGTTGCCCACATGAAGCCCATTTGCTGAACCTGTCTTTGTTAATATTACACAGGTTCCTTTTGTACCCCTAGGCCTAGATAACCAACTTATGCAATACAGGATCAAGCCAGTAAAAACAACTGTTTGTTGCTTTCAAGGATTTTGTTTGAGTTCAGGAAATATACATTTTCCATCAAAGCCTTGTTCTATGAAACAACGTCCCGGATAATTCTTCACAACCGAGCTACGCCCGGCCCCTGCGCAGTGGCGTTGAGTTTCCGCGGCCAAGGCCCAATGAAACAAAGTTAAGCTTTGCCCTAGCATCTTTAAGTGGATCAGGAACAGCACTAAACACATTTATGCTTTCCACTCTCCAAAAAAAAAGCAAAAAAACAGACCCTTCACACACAAAATATTTTTTCCGGCACCCAGCATTCAACAACAACAAGCCGGGCTAGCTCAATCGGTAGAGCGTGTGACTCTTATTTCGATTGTCATCGTGCAATCACAAGGTTGCGGGTTCGACCCCCGCGTTCGGCTGATGCTTTCTACATACACGAAGCCGGGCTAGCTCAATCGGTAGAGCGTGTGACTCTTATTATGATTGTAATTCTGCAATCACAAGGTTGCGGGTTCGACCCCCGCGTTCGGCTGGTAGAATCATTTCTTTTTTTGTGGTTTTTTTGGTGGTCTTTTGGATTTTTTTTGGCTGTGATGTCCCAAGATTGAGGCCGCATATATACGAGCCGTGAATAATCGTGCCTACGCTGCTGGGCCTGCCACATTCTTGGCGGCCCACAGCACCTCTCAGCATGCAGCTCCTCGCGCTGCACCTCTTCTAGGTGCACCACACTGAAACAGCAAAAACACTGATATAGCAAAAACATCAATTTCCAATGTGTTTTTTCTCAAATCATTGATATCCAACCACCATGATGCTGGATAACTGAGAAATCATTGAGAATCATGTCCAGCAGGCCTTAATCACATATTGATGCAATCCAACTGTTAAAATATTACCTCTGGTGTGAGAATATGATGTCCCTTACAGACAACTCATGGGAAGGATCAAGAGCTGTCAACCATGAACTGCCAATGTTCCCATGAACAAGAAGCTCACAGATGCCCAAGAAGGGGCAGTTATAGAGTGAATTGATCAAATGGACTGTGTAAACTGCTTGCCAACATTCAAACAGGTTCATAAAGCTATCAATTCTATCCTTGCCTGCTACCACCCTGATCCTACAACCCCCCTGCCTGAAATCAGCAAGATGTGGGTATACCAGTTCTACCAGTGCCACTCAGAGCTTCACTGGGTGAAGTAGAAGTCAATGGATCTAAAATGGCTTGTGATTGAAGACCTTGGGTATATATAGATGTGGTATGACTGCCTCTTTGCTCTTGATGAGTGGTATTCATTTTTGATGGGAGACATATACAACTTTAATGAAATAGAATTCCAGGAAGGACAGGGCTGCAGTGAATTTATTATTACATGGTGTCCAAATGCTAATAAGATTATACCATTGTCATATTCTTGCAGTTTGATAATAGTAATTGAATGTATCTCCACTGATGGAGAGGTCATCCTGCTGCTTGTGATTTTGCCAGGGAGGATCTATATGGAAGATTAGTATACATAGACTTCTCTACTAGAGACCTATGCTACTGCTATATCAGATACAGGCTTTACAAATGATGAGATAGGCCTCTAATGAATCAAACATTTTGATAAGTACTCTAAGGTCTGTCAAACTGGTGCTTGGTGTCTCCTCTTGATGGATAATCATGGATCTTATATGACATTTAAATTCCTCTAGTATTACAGTGAAAATAATATAATTCTATATGGATTTCTACCTCATTCAACTCATATACTGCAGCCTCTGAATGGACTACTGTTTCAACAGTATAAACACTATCATTTAAAGATGGTCAACTTGGTGGCCCAGCATGGTTTTGAGAACTATGAAAAATGCTAATTTTTATATGACCTACCTGAAATCTGGAAACAAATGTTCAAATCTAATATAATTAAGGCAGGATTTTCTGACTATGATATTCTTCTATTTAACTCTACTGTTACATGTGCATGCTCCACACTATGGAATATTCATGGTGCTTAGTCACCTACATAGCTTAGTCAGGCCTCATAGTATAAATAGCCATAGATAGCCTAGGAATGTAGTGAATACAACCTTATTCTATGCAATATTTTCATCTCAAGTTATTCTAATTATAATTAGTAGCATGTCTTTGCAAAAGATGTAAGGTTCTCTGTGGGTTTCCTGGTCTTCACAATGAGTTGTTATTATATCTTCCTGCTCTCATTACTTCTGCATTTCCTTTGATAGGTTCCCATCTCTTCTCTATCTCTTCTACTTATCTTATCTACTTCATGGACTTCTCTTTAAAAGCTATATCTACCCAGGCCTCATCCTCCTCACAGACTATACTCTATACCTAGCATCTGAATAGCTTCATCCTCATTATGGACAATCCTAATTGAATTACATTCTCATTGTTCTCTGTGTGTACTGTTCTGTTTGATTCCCTGGTGAATCTATGGACATCTACCCCAGATTGCTGAGCCCAGTGAAAGAATCTCAAGCCACCCATGGAACTTCCATAGGAATTGCCCTATTATATCTGTTCTAGTTGCTTACTTTCATTCACTATGTTACCCCTGATTCTGAGCTGCTATCATGGAAATTTGTTGTGCTGTATCCAAATCACTGTTTGCCTGTGAATTGACTGTTTAAAGCTCCCATACAAATTCCCCATACATTTCTTAGAAATTGCCCACTTTTTTACCCCCTCAAAAAGTGCTTTCTCTCTTTCCAGTTTTTGTGTTTTTTCTGAGATTTTCCACAGTCCTTTCCCTAAAAGAGCATAGTGTATATGTGTCTGTTGCATTGGCATGTATCTTCCAGTTACTCTTATCTCAAAAGGGCATAGTGTCTTTCTTACTTTTTGTACTTTTCCATAGACTCTTCCCCTTGAAAGATTCATTCCATCTGATGATAGTCATTAATGTCAGCAGCCCTCATGTCTAAAAAATCACAGAATGATCTTTTATGTCTGGATAGTAGAACTTACTTATCAGATCATTAAGTATTTTAACTCTAACTTTTCTCATCACAACTCTTTGCAGGACACTACAATTATAAGGGCAATGTTTGTGACTGAGCAAACTACCTGCCTAAACCCCCTGTCTAAGTCCAGGTAGGTGTCTGTAGAACCACAAGAGCATACATACTCATAAGTCAATTCATATAGAAGTTCTAAGAATGCTCAAGTAATCTCACTGATATCATCAGACTGGCTCATTGATCATTCATTGCTTAATCAAGTAGTTTTCAAATTTCATAATCACACAGACTGCTTCAAATAGAGCCATATATTTACCTACTGAGAAGAGGCATTCTTCAAGATATTACTAATAAGATAAGTATACCTCCTGCTAGACTCAAAGCCACACTCAGAGGGCAACACCCCATTCTATTCAGCTCAGCCATTCTTGCAGATTAACCCAGTGCCAAGCAGCATCTTATTTTGCACTGCACTGCAGCCAACACCCATGGAGTCTCTAGAGACCCTAAATATAACTCCAACTGACAAAGAATAAGTCTTGCAACTACCATCTATTGGATAGCTAAATAATATGTCAAATGTGAACAGCACTCCAGCTGCTACAGGCATTACTGGTGAATCCACTAACAATACAGGCTTCACCCTGCATCAGATGCAAACCCTATGAGAACTACTCTCTTATATCAGGGCTATTATTACTCAGCTGGCATCAGCTCAGCTACCAGTGCAGCCTCCACCTGCACCACTGACCTCAACTACTCCATGGAAACCCCAGGATATTGGTTTTTTCTACCCTGATGCACCAACATTATGGGGCTGTGATGATGTTATCAATAAGGAAGGCAAGATATATTACTGAGACATTCATGTGTTCACCAACTAGCTTAAGGTTGCTGCCCTAACCAGGGATGCAGTAAGGATCTAACAGAATTTGAATTCATGCCTCAAAGGAGAAGTAGAATCCTGATGAAACCAGAAGCTTAATAACATCACCTGTACAGATCTTATCATAACTGACAATGGAGTGGAAGAGTGGATTAAGATTCTCCAATAATGATTCCACATCAAGAGTAATCAAGCACTATAAAAGCTCAATGAGATAAAATACTTACTTCAAGATCTCTACAATAAGTACAGTCCAACCTCCTACATTCTGGACATGTCTTCAGCTGCCAAACACTGCAGCTAAGAAGACACTGAGTATGCCTAGATCCTATATGTGTGGAACAACCTGGATGTCACCTTGCAAGCTATTATTGATGAGTCAGAAGAGGATATGATCATTGAAGAATTCACTGAGATCATTTACTGCAAGCAGACCAACTGGATAGATCAATTTGCAAGTAATAATCAATATATGAATAGTATGTATAATCAGTGTGGATTCTATTGTAGTAACTTTACCCCTCAGAGCAATTACCATGGATGTGATAGAGGATTGTACCCCCATTAGTTTGAACAGCCTGCTTACTAATACCAGCCTAGGTACCAGGCACAGAACTATGCTAATGGACAGTACCACAGCTACAGTGGAAATAACAATCAATATGGCAGTAATAATAATCAATATGGTGACTACTACAACCAGTGTGACAGAAACTATCAAGGCAAAGCCCAGTAAGATCATTCTGAACTGTTAGTTCTGAAGCAACAGCTCCAGCTACTAGCACCTAAGAGTACCTCTAATGCTAACCTGCTCAGCAGGCAGCTGTGGAACCAGCAGCCATGCAAATAAGTAGCATTTCACACTGACCCCAAGGAATTGGAGGAGTCCACAGAAGATCCATATGGCCAGGAGGCAGAATTTAACCCCTACTATAATGAGTCAGAAATGCTCATGAATGATCCACAGGAATAACCATACAATGATGGTGTGTATGACCCAGAAGTAGATACATTCCATGTGGATCCTATGATGACTACCTGTTATAGCTGTAGTGAGGCCTTTGATTTACACAATAATCTATATAAACACTTGAAAACTTGCATGGCAACTCCACAGACCTTCCATGTGAGCTCTGACTGTGCACCTCAAGTGATAGTATCCTAGTAGCCAGCTGACTCAGATACACCATACAGTTATGCATTTCACAACTAGAAATATGCTACCACCATAGCATTCTACCAGGATGCCTTCAAGCTGCTGCTAATATGTGTGGACTCTGACTACACAATGATGCTCATAAGCAAGAAGTTCCTTGAGCAGCAATGCAACAAGATATTATGCCTGGCTTACCTGTAAATACCAGTCAGGGGTGTCAGAAACTCCACAGAATCCTCTGAGATGATTGTAATTCCACTCACATTACTGGCAGTTCTGCCAGATAAGAAATGTATGTTAGTGCTTGCTCAGATCTTAATGGAAGCACACATCATTGATGACCTTTATGTTAACCTGCTGCTCAGTATAGATAATATGATGCTAGAGGGCATCACTATAGATCTAGATAAGAGGATGCTGTGAATAAAGTTGTGTGAGGATGTAGAAGCTAAGATTTCAGTAACATCAAGAAAAGACCATCAAGTCATCAGGCCAGTATATTCAGATGTCAAAGTCATC